ACCCATCCTTTCACCAGAGCACTTCTATCAGCACCCTCCACCCCTCCTCCCTGCCCCCACCAGCTTTCCTCTTTGTGAGAAACTTCTCTCTCTCTCTCTCTCTCTCTCTCTCTCTCTCTCTCTCTTTTGCTCGCTCGCTCTTGCTCCTGCTCTTTCTCTCTCTCTGACTCATTCTTTCTCTCTCCCTCCCTCTTTCTCCTGAGCATTACGGTTTGCAATACTAGAATGTTATGGTTTGTAATACAGGTACTGAAAGATTATCATGTATATCTCTTTACCTCTTTTCAGTGCTCAGTTTTTGTCCAGAGTTCTCATTTCCAATTATCACTGTCATAGCGGTCCCTTCTTGGTCCTAACTGCCCTCCCCCACAACTTGTGGCAAATTTCCTTCCATGGACCAATTTCTTGTTCTCCTCTTTCATACCTGTCTCCTAAATAGTGTTTTCCCTCAGCGATCACTCTTTGGTCTTCTGTCTCAAAACTTCTCCCAACCTCTCAAAACTTCTGCATTGACATTCTGTTCGTGTTCTTTCAATGACAGACAGATTCTTCTGAGTGTTTCACACTGCCAATTTGGTACCTCACAGATGTTTCAGAATAACACCGAAAGCTGAATTCCTGATTTTCCTTTAAATAACTTAATCTGCAATCTTCCTTACTCTGTACTTTCTGTTAGTGGTTCTCATTTCTGTACTTCAGAAGGAATATAGAAAAGGAAAGGGAGAAAGGAGAAAGTATGTGAGCTACCAACTATTCCTGTTCAATTCTAAATATTACCCAATTTGGCCTACCCATCTCTTTCTCCCTCTGTCATTCTAGTCCACACAAGTGTCATTTCCTGAACTCTTGCTTTCCTTGTTTGTTTTTTTCACCACTTAATCCATCCCTGTAAATTGCAGCCTTTAACTTTCTTTTATTAGATGGCCATTCTTTTGCATCAAAACTTCACTTGAACTTTATGTTTAAAAAGACTTATCATAAGTCTTTAACTTAAAGATTTCACTTGAACTTTATGATAAAATGCAGAAGTTTAACCCTGCATTTTTAAAAGACCTTCCTTGACTTTGCTCTTACCAAACTACTTAGCTTTATCTTGAGCTCCACCCATTTCCTGCCTTAGCCACATCTCTTTTCTGTACCTCAGCACTTTCCTACCTTTTCTGCTTCTTAGGAATTTCTTCCTGTCTACCTAACCCTTCTCTCCTTGCCCATCAATCCTTTCCTCCTTCCTCCTCCAAACTCAACGCAAAAAACCCTTCCAGTCCTGTACTTTTTGGGGAAAGATCCTTAGAGATAAGTTCTACCATTATTTTTTAATCTCAAGTTTCTCTTCCCTTATTTAAAGATAATTTCCTGGGATGGTCAGCTGGTATAGAGGTTAAGGCACGTAGCACACAGCTGCCCTGAGTTCACTCCTGACACCATATATGGTACCCCTATGTACTGTACTAGGCGTGATTTCTGAGCATAGAGTCAGGAGTAAGTGAGCACAACTAGGTACGGCCCAAGTACTCCTTTCACTTCAATAACAAAACAAAGCAAATAAAAATATCTTTCTTTGATTTCTCATTATCTGAGGGAAATCTTACTCCTGCTTCTTCACTCAGGGATCGCTTCCAGTGCTTGGGGGACCATAGGGGGTGCCAAGGATTGAACCTGGCTGGCTCAGCCATGTTCTGGGGAAATGCCCTATCCTCTGTACTATCTCTCTGGCCTGGAAATCTTTCCTTTTTTCCCCTTAGTTAAACTCTTCCTTTATCTAAAGAAGGTATTTTCTTATTATTTCCAAATAATTTTTAAGAGAATTGGTTTCCTTCATACTTTTTTTTTCTCATTTTGGGTCACACCGGGTAATGCACAGGGTTTACTCCTGGCTTTGCACTCAGGAATTACTCCTGGCGGTGCCTAGGGGACCATATGGGATACTGGGAAATGCCCTACCCGTTGTGCTATTGCTCCAGCCTCTCCTTCATACTTCTTACGGTTCCAGTTTCAAGGAGTTTGTGTGCTAGTGGGTGGGTGGGTAAGTGGGCTCTCCACTGACCCAACAGGCATTCTCAGATCCAGTCAGGTTCTGCAGTTTAACTCAGTTCTGTTAACCTGTTTGCCTGAAAATAGCATCTGATTCCGCAGCTTAAAGGTTCATTCCCCTCAGACTATTCCTACACATGTCACAAGTCCTGGCTATTAAGTCAGCTGATTACATAGGTCAGTAATTCCTCTTACCTGCAATCAGCATTATTGATTTGGTTGAGCATTTTGTTCACAAAACTCAAAAGCATATTTTTCTTATGAAATCAACTGTTATAAAAAGGTATAACATAGAAGTGGCCAGATGGAGGAGAAGCAAAGCCAAGGTAAGGGGAAAGGGCAGTAAACTTCCATGCCCTGACTCACATTCTCTCCTTTGTAACAACCCCCCCCCCGCCCCCCCCCCCCGCCACACACACACACACACACACACACACACACACACACACACACACCCCAACCCCCTTCCAGTTATCTCTGCAAGCTGCCTGTCCTGGTAGCTCTCTAAATGCTGGATTTGGGGATTTATGGGAGGCTTCAATACACAGATATGATTGATGAAATCATTGTCCCCTGGGTGATTCAACATCCTTGGGAGTGTAGAGGTGGGACTGCCCTATAATCTTTTGGTTGCCTCTCCTGGCAACCGGTCTTCATCCTTAGGTGCTTTCCAGTTCTTTCATTAACATATAAAAGATACCTTTATCACTGCAGCCTCCTGGGAAATTCCAAGGGTTTTAGGAGTTCTGTGCCAGAAACTGGGTGAATAACAAATACTATTTTCTTATAAAGCACACAGCCACAGTAGCGTTTACTCAGTGAGTAATCTTGGTCAGTTTCTTCTCTGAGGGCTTTTTCAGTTTGTTATTTGAGTGCCTTATGCTCTAGAGAAAACTCTGTGACCTTATATTTTCTCAGTGAGTAGTAAACATCTAAAGAGACTATCTCCTTGACTGAGAAATGACTCAAGGGCTGAGCACTTGCTTTGCATGTTGGCACCCCTGGTTTGATCTCAGAATCTGCATGCTCCCCTTCGCACTATAGGACTGAACTCTGCTGGAATTTGCCCTCAAAGTAAACAAATGAAAAAATAAAAACAGGAAATGTCTCTTTTTTTACATTTTAACTCCTAGTTATTTTTTCTTCCATCAATTTTATTCTGATAAATTGAATAGTGATCCTATTCTTTGAGAGTTTATTTATAGAGAAAAATTTGTTGGTTTTTTTTCTTTACTTGACTATGTTAATAAATTGGTTGGTCATTATGAGAAACAGAAAGTGGGTAGTTTTGTAAAATAAAGTTTTTCAAAAGGCAAAAAATTTTTTTTGAAATATTGTATTTTGTCAGTTTTCTAAAATAGTTTTTTTTTTTTATTTCAGTGTTCAGGATATTGGATGTATCCATCAAGCCACATACATATACACAAACTAGAAATCAGAAATCGAAACAAAACTTCCATGACTAGTCAGTATAATAAATATTAATCTATTGAGATATAGTTGACCTATAATAAATAAACATTTTAATTTTACAACTTGACCAACAGAAAATTTTAAATTGCGTGTAATCTTGAAGATGATTTTTATGTTTCTAGGATATATGGTATTAAATAACATAAATAAAAATAAATACCAAATAACCAAAATTATGCCCTAGGTGGATAGTTAAAAAATCTATTTGTGGGGCTGGAGAGATAGCACAGCGGGTAGGGCGTTTGCCTTGCATGCGGCCAACCCGGGTTTGATTCCCAGCATCCCATATGGTCCCCGGAGCAGTGCCAGGAGTAACTCCTGAGTGCAGAGCCAGGAGTAACCCCTGTGCATCACCGGGTGTGACCCAAAAAGCAAAAAAAAAATCTATTTGTGGAAATGATCATGCTTGACAAGAACTGTGTATTAAAAGTAGGTAAAGAAATGTTCTCTTTTTTTATTTTTATTTTTTTTTTGGCTTTTTGGGTCACACCTGGTGGTGCTCAGGGGTTACTCCTGGCTCTGCACTCAGGAATCATCCCTGGCGGTGCTCAAGAGACCATATGGGATGCTGAGAATCAAACCTGGGTTGGCTACGTGCAAGGCAAATGCCCTACTCGCTGTGTGTTATTGCTTCAGCCCCAAGAAATGTTCTAAATAACCTTTCAGTATCAATATTGCAAGCCACAATGCCCAAAAGGAATGTGTATATGAGAGAGAGAGGAGGAGGAAGAGCAGGAGGAGGAGGAAGAACAGGAAAAGGAGGAAGAGCAGGAGGAGGAGGAAGAGCAGGAGGAGGAGGAAGAGCAGGAGGAGGAGGAAGAGCAGGAGGAGGAGGAGGAGCACCTGCCATAGAGGCAGGCAGGAGGTGGGGGGTGGGGGGTGATGGGAGGGAACCTTGGGACACTGCTGCTGGGAGACATACAATGGTGGGAGATGGATGTTGGACTACTATATGACTGAAATCCAATCATGAACAGCTTTGTAAGGGATCTATCTCACAGTGATTCAATAAAAATTTTTTTTTAAAAATCTATTCATGGGCCAGAGACATAGTACATACATTTAGGTAATTACTTTGCACACGGCTCACCCCAGTTTGATCCTTGACAACACATGGTTCCCTGAGCACTGTCAGGAGTAATTCCTGAGCATAGAGTGAAGAGTAAGCCCTGAGTCCTGCTGGGTGTGACCCTTCAAAAAATTTTACTTGTGGAGGTGTGCAGGTAGCACAGTGGGCTAGAGCACATGCTTGGTATCTTTGGAGCACAAGTTCTCTCCCTGAGCTTCATGGGGCATGACCCCTGGGCACTACCAAGTGTAGCCTCATTGCCCCTGATCACCAGACTGAGTACTGCTGGAGTGAGACCTTGGGAGCCTGGCCTCCCACACCCCAATTACAGATAACATCAGGATAACTGAGTGATTTTCTTACATCATGAGGTACTGTTTACATTTTTTTTTCTACTTAAAATCTTGTCTTTCCTTTTGTATTTTAGAAGGATGTTTCTTCTGGTGGGAGCCCCCAAAGCAAATACTACCCAGCCTGGAATTGTGGAAGGAGGGCAAGTCCTTAAGTGTGACTGGTCTTCTAACCGTGGCTGCCAACCCATTGTATTTGACGCAACAGGTAAACGTTGACTCATCGCTTCTCTTTTCTTAATTTTTGTTGTTGTTGTTGTTGTTGTATTTTTTGAAAGAATTGTCTTTAGTTTAGGTACAACTGCTTTAGCTTAGTAAAGTAATATATATAGTTATTTCAGGTCTCAGAGAAAGTTATTTGAAGAAATGATTTTTGTGATAAGGGGTTTATAATTTTGTAGTCTCTTAAAGCTTTAGAAACCCATTGTAATGCCATCACTTTGGGTATTTTCAATTTTAAAACAGGTAGTGTGAATCTGTATCCTCTCTGAAAATGTGTTTGCACCCTGAAAGCAACTTGTTTCTCTGTTGGCAAAATTCAGGCCCAACACATGTATTCCTGGAGAAGATTAACTTTCTTGTCATGCCTAGAGCTCAGCCTGGAATGTGCTGCCCGAACCAACTGAGGGATCTTTTGGATCTCAACCTGGGTGACTGGAGTTTTAGACTGTGGTGCCACTGCCTGGGCTGAGGTGGTCATGAACATCCTGCTATGTATGTCTCACTTCCTGGTGAGAAAGGCTGTAGATTCTAACCTGGTGCCCCTGCACTGTTCTGAGGCAACACTTACATCTCTGCTATTAGAGATTCCTAGTGAGAGGGCCCAGAAGATGGCTCAGGTCCCTTTCAAAGTGCTCAGGGCAAGCAGGAAGACCTAAGCTTTAGCACCAGTGTCAACACGTACGGTTGGAACCTTTGAGCTGCTGCATTCTGCGGTCCTCTGTGACGGAAAATTTTAAACAAATAAAAAATTACTGGAAAATCATGTGTCATGTTTTTGATAACAATAGTATTTTATCTCCTAGGACACATTTTAGTGTCAGGATTGTCATAGTAAGAAAAATAATATGAGGATGAAAATAACATAAAATGACTTTTAAAAAGTTTTATATATGTGTGTGTCTATGACATCAAGTGCACGTAATCTTATATGTCTAGGTTGGAATATTTATTTAGATTTGTGAATGTTTAGCAAGGAATCCTGATGAGGACTTGTTCATTTGATCCTGTGAACAGTGTCAAAATGAGTGATAGTCATTAAGCAAACTTTTAATAGGAATCAGGTTGCATTTCTGTTTTTTTCCATTTGGAGTGGTATCCCTGTTTGTTTTCCCTTGTTGACTGGCCTTTGGCAATGTCAGAGAGAGAGAGAGAGAGAGAGAGAGAGAGGAGAGATGCAAATGAGCTCCGCTGTACTGCAGTGGAGAAATACCTGTGATTCAGAACACTGTGGCCCAAGGCAATTATCTTTAAACAATATGCAATATGTGTGGTAGCAAAATGAAACTAGTTTAGTTTTCACCCGTTGATTAAGTTATTCCCATAATGTTTCTGTACTTATCAACATTGTAGTTTTATGCAAGGCAAGATATGGTCTTTTGGTATATTGAAATAATAATATATATACTTGGTAGAAAAATATTTGAAACAGTCCAAAAGCATATACAATAAAAATAAAACTCACTATAGCCTGCTTGGAAGCACTTTAAATTACCAGATCCAATGCACACCTTTTTAAAATTAAATTTATTTTTAATTAAATCACAGTGAGATACACACTTACAAGGTTGTTCATGATTGGGTTTTACACACACTTATATAAAATAACTCAGAGGCTGTCAAGATGACTCAAAATGCGGTATTGCATGCTTCACATATAGGGTCCTAGGATTTGATCTCTAGCACCACATGGGCCCTAAGCACTGAGCTGAGAGTAACTCTTGACAACACCAGGTGTGACCTCAAACACCTCCACATTTTCCTCTCCCCCACCTTCAAAAAATGAAAGTAAATAGGAAAATACCATGTACCACTAGGAGACTCCCCCTACCCACCATACACTTCACAATATAAATCTTGTATATCTGTCTGTATTAGCATGTGTAGATTTACCTCTTTCTTTGCAAATCCCAATTACTATTCTAGTGTATCTATATACCCAAACTTCTATAACTCATATTTCTTTTTTTAACTTACGTTTATTAAAATGCCATGATTAACAAGGTTATTCATAAAACAGTTGTATAGGGTTACAATGTTCCAACACCAGTTCCACCATCAGTGTGACCTACCCTCTACCAATGTCCCCAGTTTCCACCACAGTTCCCCCTGCCTTTAGTAGGCACAAAATAAATTTATTTCATATTGGTTGCCCCAAGAAAACTTAGAGTGGAAAATGCAATTATCAGGAAGTAAATAAACGTTAATTTGTGATGATTGATTGTTATATGATTTTCATCTATGTAAATAAATAAAACCCTACTCTTGTTTATATAGATAAGCTTTTGACTCTACATATTACATTAGCTTTTATTTTGTATTTTAATCTCATTATGGTGGTAATCCTACTTTCTCTGTCATTAATAAAACTATTATTTTAACATTCTTTGCTAGTATATTTTAGAATTTATATGAAATAGGTGAAGCCTACAACTGTAAAATTTATTAACAGTGAAGAGAATTAAGAAAAGTTAAGGAGAAAATCTGACTAGACCTATACAAGTACAAAGTGTTGTATCCTAAGAAGGGAATATTGAAAAGACAATAAGACATAGCACATTAAATATAAATGAAATGTTAATTCATTATTGAAAATGAATAAAATCTGTTAGCAAACTAGGAGCAAACATACCTTCCTTAATCTATTAAGAGGCAACCTTAAGCATTCACATGAGTGAATGCCAGTGTCACATGAGAAGTTTGTCCTGCCCTTTAAAGACGCTCCTTTAATGCATCTTGTAAAACTGGTTCCAAGGCTATGAATTCCCTGAGCTGTTGCTTTTCCCTGAAGCTCTATATCATTCCTTCAAATCTGAAGGATAATCTTGATGGATAGAATATTCTTGGGGAAGTGTTCATTTCATTGAGTTTTTGTACTATATTCCTTCATTCCCTTCTGGTGCGTAGAGTTTCATTTTATAAATCTGCTGTGACTCATATGGGATCTCCTTTGTATGTAAATTGCTTTGTTGATCTTGCTGATTTCAATAGTCTCTCTATCTTTGAAGTTTTTCATTTTGAGTAGTGTCTCTTAGTGTGTGGTTTTTTTTTTCCCCTCTGTGATCCTTTAGCCCTCTTGAATCTTGGTGCCTATAATCTTCATATCTAGGGAAGTCCTATTCATTTATTTAAATATTGCTTTCTCATCTAATTTGCCTTCCTGTTCTTCAGGGATTCTGATGAGTTCTCATCATTATTCCCCTTAAGCTTATCCCGTAATTCTCTGGTATGCTGTTCATTTCTTTTTGTACTATTTTTTTACCTTCTGTTTTCAAACTTTCCTTCATCTCTTCTTGGATCTCCTTGATCTTTTACTCAGCTGATGTTAATCTGCTCTTAAGAGCTTCTGTTGGGTTTTTTAAATCACCTATCCTGCTCTCATTTCAGCTTGTTCCATTATCATTTCAGTACTTGTTCTATCTACTGCACTGCTGGCTTTACTGACTACCTTTGCCATCCTTTCTTTGATCTCATTAAACATTCTCACCATGGTGTCACTAAATCATTATATGAGGATTCACTGACCTGGTTAGTGCTGTTGGAGCCCTCTGTTTTCCTGTTTTCACTCACTGAGCTTAGTGGGTTTCTATACATCTTCTCTATTGGGTTTGCTGTGTTCCTACAGTACAATGAGTAGTGTGAAATTAGGAGCCATTGTGTGACTACAAGGGCTGATACTTCAGAAGTTGTGGAGGTGGGTGCCTTGCTCTGACAGTTGGATGTGGGGGCTGCTGGGCCTACCAGAAGGGAGAGGAATCCACTCACCCTTGTTCTGGAAAGACCATGGACTTGTCAGCCAGGTGATTAGCCTAACTGGGATGATGTGGCAGCGTGCAGAGTTCAGGAGTTATGGAAATGGGTGCCTTGGTACGGCCTTAACTCATGCTTATTGATGGGCATTTAGAATGTTTCCAGTCTTTCTAAACACAGCTTTTGGGAAAATGTGTTATAATCAGGTATTTGTTCAAATGTGTGAGTTGCACAGTAGAATGTGTGAGTATGTCTGTAGGATAAAAACCTACCAGGGGACTTTTAGATGAAAGTATATGTATAGGAGCTGGAGTGAGTGCACAATGGGTAGGGCATTTGCCTTGCATGTGGCCAGCCAGGGTTTGATTCTGAGCATCCTATGTGGTCTCCCGAGCACTGCCAGAAGTGACTTAAAAAAGCCAAAAAAAAAAAAAAAGTGTATGTATATACAAAGCTTTGATAGATAGTGCAAATTATTCTTCACAGACTTAGACCCCCTTCAGTTTTCTTTTCTGATACCCATAACAGTACTATCACTTATCACTATATTTTAATTTGTTAGTTTTATATTTCTGCTGTAATACTAATTTGCATTTATTTAGTGTTAAGACCATACATCTTTGCTGTGTTTGTAAATAAGTATTTTCATCTATTTATATGTTTTTGTATGTATTTTCTATTTGTCAGTTTTTAAAAAATCTCTCTTGATGTCACTCCATATTCTCAATTGCTTAAATCAAAATCTGGAGTCACATTTGACATTAAATTTATCAGCAAATCAAATCCAGCTACTCCCTGTTCACTGTTGCTGCATATCTGGTCCAAGCTGCTATTGTCACCCACCTGGACTGTTGCCCTAGATTCGTGAGTTAATAAGAGTGCTGCCAGCAGGCAATGGCATACTAAAAACTGGAATCATTTGAGGAGCTTTTCATAAAGAACTATTTATTAAAGGATTGTTCAGCATTGCAGGATATTGGTAGTACCAGGCACTAGTTAAAATTTGGCCTCTATACCACAAGATAAAAAGGAAGATAAGTTACTAGCATCCAAAGACCTGGATGAAAGGAGAAAATCTGGATTTTGTGGACATTGTCAAAAGACTTGAGCTGTGACTTTTATCAAAGGGTAGTAGCTTTCCAGAGTGACCGGAAGGGAGGAGCAGGAGATTAAAATCCTGACCTCAGTCTCTTTCCTCCTTTTGATTGTGTGTGTGTGTGTGTGTATGTGTGTGTGTGT